TTTGTAGTTGATTTTACGAGTTCTTCCAGCACTTCTTCAAAAAAAAGTGTCGTCGAGCGGTGGGGGAGGAAGGGGTATAGCGCCTTACAGGAAGAACCGAGAAAAGTCAACATCCGAAAAGATTCCTTCGAAGGCAAATAAGACTCCCTCCAGCAACCAAGTACGATCCCCGCTGGGATTCCAACATACAACGTGCCCTGAGTGCGAAACCCTTGTTGAGAATTTCTCCACGGCGTGTCCAGGTGCCAGCGCCCGATTCTTATGCATCGCAGTCGCTTCCTTGCTTCATCTCTCTGTTCCTATCACATCTAAGCTTCCTTGGGAGACTGAACGGACTGGCTGCCCCTCATTTTATTTTTATTTTTTTAAAGTAGAAGTATTTTTTACGGCGGAAGTTACGGTGAGTAAATTGCCGAACACCACCCTTGAAAATTTTGTAGGTGTTCTAAGGGAAGTTCCGCGCAGACCGATTGGGCGGTGTCATGCGGAAAAGACTTGGAGACTCGGTGTCTTCCTCCTATTAGTCATGACCATCTCTGTTCGAGAGAAGTGATAGTAGGAGTACCGCAGCGAAGGCGCAGTAACCTATTTGCGCCCATGCCATAAGTGCGAAAAGTGCCTTCAATCTTTTAGTTACATTGTAAATCTTTCAGACGCCAGTGAAGCAGCCCGATGGCACTACGAAGGACAAAGTGTCAGCTTTCATAGTCGAACGAGCTTTTGGTGGTGTCACTAGTGGTCCACAGGAAAAGAAAATGGGCATCAAAGGATCGAACACTGCTGAAGTTCACTTCGACAATGTCAAGGTAAGCTTTGATTCTATTCATAAGGTCGGATGATATGTAGTGAAGATTTCTAAGTTTTTCCGCCCGTTTGATCCCCGGAGGTTTTAGTTATATGCAGTATTAGTTTTGTGATTTCCGGGTGTAGTTCTCCTTGGTGGGGCTATTTCGCTGGTCTCCGTAGATCACTGCCAATGCCCCCCCCTACGGAGACCTGTGAACTCCTGTGAAGTTGTGTAACGACAATAGCTTGCGGACGCTGGGGGAGGGGAGGTGTCACCATGGCTGAGTTTTGCGCGGCGCCAGCCAGTTTTCCACCAGTTGTGTCGTCTGCCACAATTCGTGAAAAATGGGTTGGCACGGTGCCGAACATAGGGCCGCAGATACCCCCCCCCCCTGCGTGCTCAGCGAACAAGACCGTGTATTGAAGATGTTCATGAGGAGTTAAACTATGATGTTACAGGTCCCCGTCGAAAACCTTCTCGGGGTTGAAGGTGAAGGATTTAAAGTGGCCATGAATATTCTGAACAATGGTCGCTTCGGTATTCCTGCCTCATGTACAGGATCCATGAAATACTGTATCCAGAAAACGGTAAGCACTTCTAAGGGTTCATTGAAGTTCATAATAAGAAGGGAAAGTTGTGTAAGACACAGAAGTGGTTAGAAACCTTTTTTTCCAATTAATGAAATACCGCCTTGCAGAGGCTTACAGTAACAATTAGGTGCAGGTCAGGAGATCCGTGCTGCGGCAACACGTAAGAACTATCTCATCGCGGTTAATCTCCTAGCTAGTAATCAGAAGGTCAAGCACTTTTGGCGCTAAATTACACAGCTCCTTGTGCGAAATGCCAGGACGCCTCTTTTAGCTATAGCTGTCAGCTCCTAGTTTCTCCCTGTCCCCAGTATTTCAGTGCTACTTTTTGAATGGGAGCTTATTAATCTGAAAACATTCTATCGTCATAGAGAGGCACTAACCTGATGAGTTGAAAAGCTGTAATATCACGGCGAATTTGATAGAAGAAATTTTGATTTTTAATTTGTTTGAGATTTAGGTCGATCACATAACGAGTCGAGTGCAGTTCGGACAGACTCTTCAGGAGTTCTTCAACGTTCAGGTGAAGTCTTATGAAGGTCGTCTTGGGTTATTTTTATCCCTTTCGATATTGCAGCCCTTACTATTGTTGTTGTCAAAAGCCTTTTTCGGCGCTCTTTAGCTTGGGCGGGGCATTTTCCAGTTTCGCACCATTTCGCGATGCGTGTGGACTCTTGCCAAGTGTAAGTAAGCTTCTGTTATTGCCATAGTTCCATGGGAGTTCAAGGGTCTTCACAGAAGGCATCAATTGGAATCAGCAATATGCCCCCACCAAGCCAAAGTGCTCCCAGTTTTCTGTGTCAAACGAATATCGATCACCCGATCTCAATAAAGTTCAGGAGAAGCTCACAAATATGGTCGCTCGTCATTATGCTACCGAATCGATTGTCTATCTTCTTGCAGCGAATATGGATCGTGGAATTCAGGACTATCAACTGGAAGCGGCTATTGGAAAAGTCGCCGCATCGGTAGGATTTAATGTTGTTCTAGTTTTCTTCGTTTTTTTTGAAGAACAAGAAGGAAACAGCCACAGTGCAGCTTTGCTTCGCTTCGTTCTCCAACAGTTCGTGTGTTGTTGGCCAGTTTGAGGCGCCTGCGGTTGCAGCGCGGTTCAGTGACCGCTTGACTTGAAGGGATACCTGAAGGACCTTTTCAGGAAAATGCCTGGTATGTATGCGATGAGGCGATTCAGTTGCATGGAGGAATGGGATTCATGAAAGACTGCGGTCTGGAACGGGTCATGAGGGACTTGCGAATCTTCAGGTGAGATTTTCGTTTCCTGTGAATTGTTCACTACCAGTGCCAAAGGTTTTTCAGAATCTTCGAAGGAGCCAATGACGTCATGCGGCTATTTGTGGCTCTTACCGGAGCACAACATGCTGGAAGGCATCTACAGCAGGTGGCTAAAGAAATCAAGTCCGGCGGCTTCGGAACTCTCTTCGGACAGGTCGTGAAGCGAGCGACTGGGTAAGGATTCAAAGATTTCTTAGGTGTAATTTAATGTGAACTCAACTGTTCTCAGTGGCAGCACCGGAGCGGATTTCGCCGCCGTGGTAGACCCTGCTCTAACCGATTCGGCTAAGAAGTTGGACAGCTGTATCAATGAGTTCGGCAAAACAGTTGAGAAGCTTCTTATGAAGTACAAGAAGGGCATTGTGGGTAAGTGTTCAAAACCTATTGGAGCGTAGCAAGCTCCGCCCCTAGTGGGCGTTTCCGTGACATCAGACAATGCGGCTGATTAGTCAGGGGATCGCTCTGTGTGTGGCGAGGCATCCATGGCTTCAAGACGCCAGAATTTTCGGACATATACCACCCACCCCTTCGTTATATGATACTAGTGGGAGAAACCATAAATTTCAAATTAGGTAACCAGGATTTCCCAAATGGGAAGTGGAATAATTTAAATTCGCATTTTGATTTCTAAGCTTACGGTTAGCCTTCACTTCGAAAAATCTGTCTGACAGAGTTTGCAGCCAAATCAGGCTTCGCTAATCACTGTGAAGCGACTCATGTCAAAAATATATCCCAAGCAAATCGTAGGGACGAAGCTTGGCCTTCATTACACCTTCCTCGATTGCCCGCACTTTCTCTATACCGTATCCAAAGAGCTAAGCTGATCTTACTAGCGAGGCGCAATGTTAGAGTCCCAGTTCTGCCTCCAAAATGAGCGCGGAAGAAAGGGTTGCTGCGCAATTGATTAAAGTGGGCGGAGTTTTGCTTTTTCATTGGTCGGTTCTACTTTCCCATTGCGCTCTGTTCGTTCCTACGCTAACAATATCGATCACAGATAATAGAATAAGAAAAAGATTGCGAGCTATTCCACGGTTTTTACTGGTTTTGATTCTTCCCAAAATTTCTGATTCCATGTTGCAGACCGGCAATACGAGCTGATCCGTGTAGCAGACGCGGCAATCGATATCTACAGTATGATAGCAACACTTTCCAGGTGAGCGAGCAAACTTTAGTTTAGTTATAAAGGTTGTACCTTCAAGTGAACGTTTGACAATAATGGAATCGTGCGGAGATTCATAATCCTCCGTTCTCGCCTCATGACGGATCCCTCCTCTAATATACAGGGGGGCCAAAAAAAGACTTTTTTCTTCCTTGACTTTCGAGGCGTTATAAGTTACTTTATTAAATTCTTATCGGATATTTCCACCACCATATTAAAGAGCATATTAAATACTATCACGATACTCCGCCACAGCCTTCTGGAGGAGCGCCATCGAGAGATTCTGCCACGCGACCGTGAGTGGGTGCCTGAGTTCAGCGAGATCGTTGATTTCTCCGCCACTGTAGACCACCCTATTGAACTCCGCCCGAACCAGGTAATTGAGGGGGTTTGGGTCAGATGACCTGCTTGAATATTCCACCTTCCTCAGGTACTCAACGCCCCTCCATTCCAAGTAGGCAAGAGTTTTCCCATTTTATCGCCCTTTGATTTTCAGTTGGTGGTGTCACCTAATCCTGTAGCAGTACAAAGTTTCCAAGAAGGTACGGGCGACGACATGTGGGGAGGATATTCTTCTCAGTTGCTCGATGTAACCGCCAGCGCTCACCTTCAGTCCGGGGCCCACGAAGAAAATATCGGTCTCTCCATTCCAGGTACGTCCGGTCCCACCATCAACTGGCGCCTTGGCGACTGAGGTGAAGATGATGTCCTAGACCGTAGCGACGTTGACGGAGCTGCTCGATGATGGAGGTCTTCCAGATCGAGAGTACTGGTCTCCAGGTAGCTATCCATGGGTGACTCCATACTAGAAGTTTCGCAGCTGTTTGGAGGTGACATGAGTTCCGAAGGTCTTCTCCAGTCAGGTTGCGGCTGGAGATGACTTCATATTTTGGTGTACATGAAGGTGATGGGCGAGCGCCAGCTCCTGCTTATAGAGGAACATCTTGGGTATCTCCGCCCTGGTACTCGTATCCACGTACTCTGTCTGGGCTGCGAAAACTTTGTGACATGCTGACTCGATCGAATTCTTATTTTTGCCCCCCCTCCTATATATAGTAACAAGAGGTGCACTAATGAAGCAGGCACAGTGATTATCAGTCTCCGCCCGTCTGTTTATCGCAAAAAGTGTATTGAGGAATGATATTCATGATCGTATATTTCCTTTTTTTGGTTGTTCTTTTATTTTCCTAACAATATTTATTAACAATTTTATAACAATGGGATAATGATCCAGAATTCGAAGAAGCCGATATTTTCAGGTGCACTCACTCATGCAAAAAAACAATGCAGCCAGCGCTTCACATGAAAGGGATATTGCGAACTATATCTGCAGCACTGTATGTTTTCTACAAGCTTCACGAATTATTGATTTTCTGTTCGACGTTATTGATTTGGTTTGATCGACACTTTAACTTCTCCACTTAGTTTGTTCGAATGATTATTGACAACTATGTTGAAAATAAGAGGAAATCAACCTAATTTCTCTGCCTCTTCGAGCTCGGTCTATTCTAGGCGGAGCTTCTCATGTTTGCGTTTTCTTGTAGCAAGGGAATACTATCGATTACTGTCATTGTTTTGCCCAGTTTATTGATTGGTGCTTCACATATGAGACAACTGTCTAGGCATCCCGACGCACGATGGACAACCTCAAACAAGCGGCTAATGGCAACGAATACGACGTGAATCTGATCACATCGATCGCTACTGCAGTGTGCAACAATGGTGGTTTACCCCAACAGCATCCGATTGATGTTTGATCGATTTATTGACCGATCCATTAATCAATAGTTATCTCGTTGCTTGTGTGTGTGTGATTACGGTATCAGTTGCCTTTGTATAGATTTTCCTTATTAGTTGTTGTTTTCAGTTTAGTTTTCCGACATCTGTTACGTTGCCAAGTTTTACTTTTTGAACTTGCCTAGGTTAAGTGATGAAACCTAGTCGATCGATAACTATTTATTACACTCGTCGACTTACTATAGACTTATCATGTCTTCTTTCGCGTACATGTCGGGTACCTAACAGGAATAAAGAGTTTTTCATCGATTTTCCCGTCATTGTTGTATTGACTGGTGCCGATCCCATGGTTATTTGGGCGCTGTTCGGCTTGGTAGGGGCATTTAACAGTACTCAGCGATTCGTGTGCAGGCCACCTTGTTAAAACGTATAAATTACTGTGACCATAACGGTTCACTTGGTCCAATGCGCAGCTCCACAAGATCTAATCAAAGTAAGACCTGTTAGTCAACGAACAACCAGAAGGAACTGAGACGGTGCAGAATGCCTCCCCCCTCCTCCGTACTCTTTTTTTTCTGAGCTAATATTTGTACAGTATAGTAGGTTTGCGCGCTGGTGAAGGAGAATCACGTTTTGACAATTCATGATATCTAAGCGGTCATGGCTGATAAGCCATCCTGTCCGTTGGGCGGAGACCAAATGGACCAAATTAAATGTCAAAGATCGAAATGCCGCATGAAAATCGTTCGGTTCAAGGTAGCTAAATAAAAAGAAGCTAGATAAACCAGTAAAGGCGTCTGAAATCCTCACTAGCAGTAAGATGCATGGCGCACATCGAGGCGACTGACCAGCGTTTATTGATTCCCCATGCAGACGTCTAGGGAACAGGTCAAGGTTTCATGGGTCAAGCTGTATCCCAAAAGACTCAAGTTGGAAAGCTACCATAGTAAGTGAACTGAACTTGGGCGAGGGGAGGGGGACTTATGTACGTAGAATAATATCAATGGATAATAAAATAATATTGCTATAAATTGAGTGGTTTCAATAGTATTTCCAAAAAAACAACCTAGAAGAAGAACCCCCTGAATGGCTGGGCCTCTCCAGGATGAAAAGTGTCAAATAAGGCAGAACAGTCACACATTGATACCGATTACCCATGTGGACTGCCGAGGACGTTTTGTGGTCCGACGGTGACAGCCTGGCTGTCAGCCAGTCATTGCCTGCCCATCGCTAATAAGATATTTACTTATTAGTTTTGAAAATAATTAGCTAATTAGGCAGTAATATGTGTCCATCGACATGCAAAAAGGGAGATTATTTTCATACTGAACCATAAAAATTATGCCCGTCGTTAAAGTGTGAATAAGAAAAATAAAGAAAATGTGCCTTGTTTTCCCCTTTCTTATCCCTTATCGCCCCCCCCCCCCCCCCCCCCCCCCGCCCCCCCTCCCCCCCCCCCCCCCCCCCCCGCCCTCGGGTTTTCAAAGGAGCTGTTCAGGATTCACTGAAGATGGAGAAACAGTGTTGACAATCAGGCCGCATTTCCGCGATGCGACCGAGCTGGTAAAGACATGGTGCGACGTGTGTCTTCATGGGGGTATAGCTCAGGGGTAGAGCGCTCGCTTTGCATGCGAGAAGTCTGGGGTTCGATTCCCCATACCTCCAGAAGTTTTTGCATTCGTACCCACAGTGCGTAAACCTATAAATTAACCTTTGCAGCAATCACTTTGCCTTCAGAATGTCCTTTTATAGCACTCTGGCTGCATAACCTCATTTTAGTTACTATCTGTGGTGACATAAGGGGTTCGCCTCAAACTTTCGTTTGAACTGCGGGCGCTGTTCTGCTTGGGAGGGGCATTTTGCACCTTCGCTGGCACCTTTCGGTTGTTCATGTGAAGAAACAGATCCCAATTTGGTGAATCCTGTAGCTCTTGTGAAGCTACGAAATAGTACAAGTGAGCCGCTTCGATGGCAATACTTTATAGGTCTCAAAAAAGTGACCTGTATGAGCGTCGCCCTAGTAGCATTCGCTGTCCCCACCAAGCCAAACCGCACCGCGATTGTGCTATGATCGGGGATCATGATTAGTTATCGATAAGCACCTGGCCTGTGAACCGGCTCGTTCTGAGCAATTTGCTGCGGTGGGGTCCTTAGAAGCTCTCTGGGAATTAAATTATTCATTTTAGGTGCCAAATGGTGTCATGGAGTGGTTTAGATTGCAATTTAATTTAGGAATTTAGTTCTAGCGAATGGTGCTGGGTTATCGGTGATCTCGATCGGTTATCGATAACGGGCGGGAAAACCTAGCCGGCCACCCATACGAGGCCACCCACAATCCATGCCGCCCGCACCTCCGAACCTCTCAACAGCCCCATTTCAAATCACTTTTCATTTTTGTTAATTATTCATATCTTTCTCGTAACCCAGAAAGACTTCTGGTCCCTCTTCCTCTACACTTTGCTCTTGCTGTCTTCTGTTACTCCCAACTTTGTCATAAGGTCTAGTAAGTTGCAAGCAGTTGGTGTCGCTGAACTGCAGACAGGGAACGTCATCGTAATGAGGGAACCTGGCCACTCGCCACAGCTCCTCACCATGCCTCGAATATGGCCCCTTTACATTCAGAAGCTCTTTCTGTGTTCCCCTCCTTACCCCTCCAACTTCGCTGAAGAAACTGGTCTGCTAAGGGGACGATGAGAAGGAAGTAGGATAGTGATCTTCACCCTTTCGCCACGCAGACCCTAGGTCTAATACCACACCGCTTCCATCGCTTCAATCAGGACTGGCCATCTCCTTCTCGGGAATTCCTCAATAAGGGGTGCCCTGATTGCCAGCGTGGCTTCATCACTCTATTCTTCTCTCTTCCTCTCGTGACTATACTGCTTACTATCTTCATTCCTAAAAAGTCTCAGGTGTTTTCTCGGCGCTGATAACCTTGCAGGGCATTCAGAGGACACTTCGTGCAGAACTTACATTTCCTTAACGGAGGCGGGAACTTTTGACCAAGCATAAGTGGTGAAGGAGCTCTGGGGTGGGTGAGCCAAATTCATATACGGTCATTCTATTCAGAATACGATGGTCCAAGCCTTGGGAAGGACATATCTTCTCATCATGTCCCCCTCCAACGAAATTAGCGCCGTTTTCCTCCTACAGTGTCATTGTCCTCTGCGATGGCTTCTTGCATACTGCTGCTCCTTCACCGCTTCAATGGGAAACGGATTCTTGCTTACCCAGAACTGTGACTCGGGGTTTCCTTTGGAGGACGTTTTGGCCAACAGTTTTTTTAGTAAGAACGTTTTTCACTTACTGTGGGATGAATCAGTGCAGGAGACCATATTTGGTACCAATGAGGCTCTTTGGCTCTTTTGTGCTTGGGTTGAGTTTTATCCATTTCTCTATCTGCAGTTCTTTTGGCTGTGTCACGTTGCTCCCTCACTTCAAAATCGTGATTAAACTTTTATAGCCGGTGTGGCCCCCGATTGCCCTGTCACATAAACATCAAAGTTTTTTTTTCAGGCGTTGGCGCTAAATGTGGGTGTTCGAGGTCAGGGACTACCCCCTAATTATCGCTGTTTTCAGCCATATCAAGTGTTCGACTGGAACATGAAAAGGTAAGGTGTCAAAGGTTAGACGGTGCTAACTTTTTCACCTGAGCTGGGCGCTCTTTCGAGATAGTATAACCACTTTTGAAACGCGTAACCGTACTCTCTTGCCGTAGAACTTTCGTGAAAGCAAATGGCAAAAGGACCCTCGTGTAAGCATTTCATTACGACCCATATGAAATCGCTCAACTAATTACGACACTGTGGAAAAAGCCAGTCTTTCGCTCCAGGAATGGACAGCGGCGCCCGTGTATGGGGGTATAGCTCAGGGGTAGAGCGCTCGCTTTGCATGCGAGAAGTCTGGGGTTCGATTCCCCATACCTCCAGGTATTTTTGGCGAGCATAACGCTGACCCATGATACGCGGTTGGGTGCTGTTCCCCCAGGGTACAGCACGCGGTGATGCGTGAGGTGGTGGTTAGGTATGAACGCCACCCCCGCTCCCGAGAGAGTTGATCAGTAGCGATCCCCACTTGATAGGGGGGTCTCGTGTATCGTACCTCGTAGTTTTTTCACCCGAAAATTTTCCGTCGAACAGGGGGGGGGGGGTGGTACATAGCCAGTGTGAAACGAGAAAATTTCTCAGATTTTCCCCAACTTTTTACCACCCGCATTTCCCGAAAGTTTTCCTAATTTTTCCAAAAATTTTGCTGTCGAGCGGGAGGGGTGGGGAGAGGGAGGGATATGCAGTGCACATGAAACAGGAAAAATCACGCGAAAAGTCACAACGCGGAAGAAATTTTTTTCGCTAAACGGGACAAATCTCTGCAACGCACCATACAACCCGCCTCTGGCCCGCAACGACCAAATAGCGACCCCCTCACAGAGTAAAAAAGTACGACCCCCCTCCCCTATGTGTTCCACACAACGATTAGCTGTAAACTGTCGTCGTAAGCATTTCACCCTTACCCACATTTAGGTGAATGGTGCATACGACACACATACCCCTGGGGTATAGCTCAGGGGTAGAGCGCTCGCTTTGCATGCGAGAAGTCTGGGGTTCGATTCCCCATACCTCCAGATATTTTTGCTCCTATATCTATAGCCTACAAATACACGGATGGATAGCATAATAGTCGCCAATCTACCCCTTAGTCAGTCTGAACAGTCCTTTGGGGTGTTTGGTTCACATGATTGATTGTTTTAATTCTGCTATATTTTTTTCTCGTGGTTTTCAATCGGAAACGTTTTGCATCATCCATTGAAGGGGTTCTTTCTTTATTGCAGGAAAATATGGTAATATTCCCTGGTGTATGTCACACACGAGCGGGTCTATTCGAAACGATCAATCGATTTTTTGCAATAGAATCAATGCATATCCGATGGGATAGTCGACGTTCACAGAGGAACTAGGTCAGTTCCCTTTTTAGCTGTGCTGTCAGATAGCTCCCATTCCGAAAGACGTGAGCGAGAGTGTGCCAT